AAAATTTCGGCAGCACTTTGTTACCCCCACGGGGTCAAAATGTGTGCTGAAAGCAAGAATGACTAACTCCTAATTAGATTTGAGGGTGCCGCAAGGAAATTCGAATTTTCAAAAAAAATAAAAAAAAATAAAAAAAAAATAGAAAAATGATAAAATAAGTAGGGAATAAGATAATTCGAATTTTTTTTTGAAGGAAAGGGAAAATTTAAGGCAAAGAGAAAAAGAACAGAAGAAAAACAGAAAAATTCGAAGTTGGGTGGGGGGGATGGAAAAGTGATGAAGAAGGAGAGAAATAAGTGAGAAGAGAAAGAAAAAGTAAAGTGGGAGATGGGGGAGATGATGGGGTTGTAGTTGGGGGAGGGAAGGGGGGAAGGAGGGTGGTAGAATGGGAGAGAAGGATACAAAAAAAGGTAGAGAGGGTTGGATGAGATTAATGGGAGATGGTGAGTGGGGAGGAGAGGAGAGAAAAAGGTTTTAGAGGATGGGTGGAGAGGAGGGTAGGAGTGGAGAGTAGTGGTAGGGGGGAGAAGAGATGATTAGATGATGGGGGGGGGGGGAGAAAAGAGGTTGGGGGAGAGTGGGTTAAGGGTAGGATGGTGATACCAGGCTCTTGGGTGGTCAAGAGCAAAGTTCTACCAAGATCCACAGGATCTTGGCCTTCAAGATGCTGCTGGTGTGATGCCACAACAGTAATGATGATGATCTAGGGTTGGCTGAGATCTTGATTAGCCACCCTACTGCCACAGTCACACATCCCCCTTGCCATGGGGGAATCTTGAACTGTTGCCAAACTGTTGCTGCAACAGTGAAGTAGTAAAAATATATATATATACATGACGATATATATATGCATGTGGTGCAGCCGGGGGCGTCTTCAGCAGATGTCCACGTGGCACAGCAGATTGCCACGTCCGCAGGTACCAGCAGCCACGGTCGAGGGGGGGGGGGGGCAAATAGCTCTCTAGCACGCTGCTCGCTGCTCGCCGACGAGGGGGGGGGTGGGGAAATAGTTGTTGTGCCACCGCTTCAACAGCAACCAGCCACAATATCAATCCATACTATGGTTGTGGCCAGTGTGTTAAGGCATTGGCCACGCACGCGCATGAGCAGCAGCTGCCCAGGTTCAAACCCTGGCAGTTGCAGCACTCCCTAATTTTGATAATACATATCCAGGAGCGGGGCGGGGCGGGGCAGCGTGGCGCGCGTGTGCGTGTGGCGGCCTTGGCAAGCGCCGCGTTGTGAAGCAACGTTTCCTTTTTCGCCACGTGTCGTCTCTCCATGGCGCTGTGTCCGAACACCGTTTTTCGCTGTTTTTTTCCCGAAAAAAACCCTGACATGCCCTCAAAATCCCGCTATCAGGATTACACTGTTTCCCGCTATGAAGTGCGGGGGGGGTAGGGAGGGTGGGAGCGGGGACCGTTCCCGCTCTGATACCAATGTGCGAGACCCGCCGGGATGGCGGTCCGACAGGATGGAGAAGAAGGGGTTGATGAAGGAGGAAGTGGAGATGGAGCTGGAAGGGACAGCGAAGCTCCGACGCAGACTCAACACCGCACGTACTCCAACATTGCAAAAATGAAGAATGCTGAAAAACAGACAACAGTTGGGGTATATCCCCAGCGGACTGACTGACTGGACTGGACTAGCCTGGTACCGACAGTGGTACCGGGCAGGACTGGAAGAGCACACGGCCTGGTCCCAGAGGCCGAACTGGCAAATAGCCAAATAGACCCTGGCTATAGGCCAGGGCAGATGGAGGCCCGCTGCATATCTTCCCTATCGTAGTCTGCCTGATGTGCCTCCTGGTACATATCATTGTAGTACACTTTGGCCTTCCCAGAAAGGGCTCCAAAGGTCAATGTTCGGGGGGCTAAAATCTGACATGACAGGTCATGCGGGGGGACCCTGGGGTTGTCCTCTGCTTCCCTGTCCTGCAGGGTCGCCCTACTATGCCCAATAAGTCGTCCCCTCCCTCTGAATCCGCCTCGTCCTCCCCTGTGCCTTCCTCCTCCTCCTTATCTTACCATAAGTTTTCTCTCTCCTCCCTTGAATGCTCCTTATCCCCCTCCTCACTATCCCTTGTGGTTTCCTCTACCGCCCTTTCTTCTTCTGGGACAGGGTCTTCCCTCTCCTTTTCCTCTGTCGGTATCTCTGTGTCCCTCTCCCTCTTTGTCTTTCCTGCATCCCCGCCTTGATTTGCCGCTTCTGTTGTATCTGAGGGCTTCCAATCCTCCTCCGCCTTATCTTTACCGTTTCCTTCTTCTTTGCTTGATGATTTCTCATCGTCTCTCGCCCTCTTCCTGCTTCTCCTCTTCTTCCTCCTCCTCTTCGCCTTCCTCCTCCTCTTCGTCTTCCTCATCATTTTCCTCCTCGTCTTCCTCCTCTTCTATCCCCTCATCCATGTCCTCTTCACCCTGCTCGTCCCCCTTTTCTGCCAAGTCTTTTTGTCGATTCTCGTCATTATCATCTTCATCCTCCTTCCCCTTTCCCTTTTACACCTCATCTCCCTTTTCTATCTCCATCTCGTCTGTCCCTTCCTGACTTGACGCAGGTCCTTTGAGAACCTCCTTGTAGGTCGGTTTCGCGCGTTTTTTCTAAACTACTAGCTCCCGACCTATGGTTGGGTTTTTTTGACCGGGTGTTCCTTCAGCCTTTCTTCCCCTGCCTTGGGTCGAGACATGAGACTGGTTTCCGTCTCTCCCCTTCCTTGTTTTACCCCTCTCTTTTCCTCAAGCCTCCTTTTCTTTGTCCTTTCCCTTCTCTATAGGACTTTTTCCCGATTATTATTGTTATTATTTGGCTTCCTCGGGCCTTTCTGGCTTGTCTTGGGCGGACTGTCTGGATCACCCACATAATGGTAGAAGCGTCGACAGTCGGCGCACCACGGGGTGTCAGCGCCGACCACTTTGATTTCCATTAAGCCTTGTTCGGCCAAATCCACCAGAAGCCAAGTGAGTCAGGCATCGCCACACAGCATCGCTCGAAAAAAAAACTCGGAACTGTTCGAGAGCTATCAGAAAGGCGTTTTCGAGTGCCTTCTCGAAACGATGTTTTTGCCTAGCCTGCACCGTTGGAGTTTTCGTGATACCGCCCGTCCGCGCTCGAGTTCGACGTCCATTTCGAGAGTTGTCAGGCCGTTTTCTCGGGCCGCGGATAGCATCCACGTTCGAGAGGAATTTTTATAGAGGCCGGTCTAGTGTGCTATGGGCCTAGTTGCACGATTCTCCATAGGCCAAGTTTGGCGAGTAGGTGCCTGGTTGCACTTACTCGCCAAACTTGACGAATGCAAAATGTGTCAGACGGCTCGCGACACCGTCGACACAAGTTGTGGAGAGTGAGTTCGTTTTCCCCGCCTGTGCACGGTGGTTTGTGGAGAGTGGTCCTCGGACCTCTCCACAAAACAACTTTCTGGAGAGTGCAGGGCTTCACGAGTCGACATGTGGTAGACGAAAAAAAATTAACTTCTCTGTAGAAGAAATATAATGGCGAGTAAGTGCAACCAGGACTCGAGTTCGACGCGATTCTCAGTTTTTTCACTCTCCACGCATCCGCCACGAAATGTGACGGATGGCGAGAAGTGCAACTAGGCCCTATGCGGCGAAGGGCCATTTTCTCCCTTTTTTTTTTTTTTCTTTCTTTATTAACACAAGCTCCATCTATTGGTGGGGAGCAACACCTGCTGGAAACCGGGTCCAGCGTCCCATAGATACAACCGTATCCTCACAAATTGGCACAAACTATACAACCCTATCCTCACAAATTGGCACAAACTGGGAACCGGGCCCAGTCCCATAACGAGCACATTCAGAAAAGTCATCAGAAAATTCCATGAAATGAGACTAGGAGCCTACTAAGAATTTTAGAGCTATTCCAGACCTTTTTTGTGGGAAACTTCAGAGTCAGACAAAATTCGGAAAACCCTCTAGGATCCACCATCAGTCCTCTTACCTCACTCCGGCAAGACTTACTGCAGCAAAGCCACCATCTGTACTGCTGCTATGCCCTATTTCTATCCTACCAGCTGGAGGGGCCATTTTCTCTCAAAAACCGGCCTCTTGAAAAATCCTGATAGCCCTCGAATATTTTCGAGATTAGAGAGTGGTGTGGCGAGGCCCTTACAGTCCCTGCTTGGAAACTACCAGGCCGTCGAGATCCGATCTATTCGACGGCCGTACTGTGTAACACGTGATCGAAATCCTGAACGAAGTAGCAGAATACTTTTTTTTTTTTTTTTTTTTGGTCTCTTTCTATATTCTTCTCTCAACTCTGTTTTTGCCTTTTACTACCTACTCCTAAGGCTATCTAGAGGGGACCCCTGCAAGCATAGTTTCCGCTCACTGTGAAGGGGAGATTTCATGTTGTCCCTTGCCCCTTATGTTTAGGGTTTAGGGTTGGGGCCGCCAGTGGGAGTCTGGCTAACAACAAAGACCGAGACCTGCCAGTAGCTGTGCCTCCCTTTCTGCAGTGGCTATGGCCAACAGTCTCCCACACACCACACACAACCCACTCGCGCTCGCACTCACACCCATGTTGGTCATAGATTCCACTAATACCGATAAGGCGTATCCAGAGGACTCGCTAATGGGTCCAGGGGCAAGGTCCCACTTGCACGGCTTAAGAGATTCTGGCCGTTGATCTGTGTTATCTACGGTCAATATGGCTTAATTCGTGTAAGTGGGACCTAGCCCCAGGCCCCAGGCTCACAGAAGGGAAAAAAGAAAAAAGAAAAAAGAAAAAAGAACTCCAGGGAAGTTCCAGGCGCTCTGAGCTGTGCTTCGAGGAAGGAGCAGCGGCTTGGCCGCCATCGGGCCTGGATGCACTAGTCTCCAGATGTGCAAAATGAGACTGAATCCACCGCAAGAACATTGAAAGATGAGTTGTCATCTTTTTTGTCGTTTGTGCATGTCGAGAGTAGTGCAGGCGAAAAAAAAAAAAAAAAAAAAAGTTAGTGCAGGCGAGGCCCATCGTCTCCCAGAGGGAACCTGATTACGGGCCGCGCTGCGCTGAAGAGAATTGGAAATCTATCTGGACCTAATGATGATCAACATGTCTGATCAGTCTGAAGGTATCTGGTCGCAGTCCCTTCCAGATGCATGTAGAACGTTGACTACTGGATCGAGGACATTCATTAGGTGGATGAGCAGCACCTCTGCACAACCGCTCGGATTTTTTTTCTTTTCTTTTTTCTTTTCTTGGGACTGGAGCTATACAGAACGACGTAGCATACAGCGGCCTAGCTCAGTTGGTAAGGCACCCAAGTGGCATTCCGGAGGTCTTGGGTTCAATTCCCATTGGCCTCATGTACCTTCCTGGGCAAGCTTGGCGCCCGCCACCTAGAGATATGCCTTTGGTCCCCCCGAGTGGAATTGAGCAGAGACTGCTGATGTTCATAGGGGGAGGGGACCGGAGGGGAGGCACAGTGACCGGCCCATCGAAGAAGCTCGGTCCTGATGCTACCGGCTGACCCCTGGCCGGTATCGCTTACCTGCTGTAGCAGGTATCGCACCTGCTGGTGGATGCAGCTCCCGCATGTTCCCTCGTTGGATGGCTGCTACGGGGTTCCCCGTAATACTATAATGACAGTCCTGTCCAGATTTGACAGGTAATTGACAGAATTAGACTTAAAAAAAAAAAAAACTGAACGACGTAGCGCGCACGGTGCGCACACAGACGCCAACCCAGCTAGAGAGTAGCAATGACTACAACGCAGGTGAGAATAACAAAACCAGTACATTCTTCCCCCGAATAGAACGTACGGTAATCATTGCTGTATTTAGACTGAAAGGTCCCCAAATACGTATATAATGACCGTACGTTCTATTGGGGGGAAGAAGGTAACCCACCAGCTGGAGAATAGCAAAACGACTAACCCCGCTCGAGAATAGCAAAGCGACTGGATATATGTAATATATTTTTATATAGATATAATATATAGATATAATATATAGATATAAGATACAGATATATAATATAGATATAATATATAGATATAAGATATAGATATAAGATGACGATATATAATATAGATATAGTCTAATTATTTACTAATTAGTTTTGTAACTAGAATATCTGTAAAATAACTTGAGTACTACAGAGATGTTTTTTTATTTTTTATTTTTTTATTTTTTCATTATTTTTTTATTTTTTTTTATTCCAAATGGAATTTTATTTACTTGTCCTCTTTATCCAGTGTGTAACGGATACCCTCGACGAAACTGATCAGAGGTGATGAACGAACTCCGAATTTTTGCTCTGCTGACTTTATAGGCTTTTTTTTTTTTTTTTTTTTTTTTTTTTTTTTTTTTTTTTTTTTTTTTTTTTTTTTTTTTTTTTTTTTTTTTTTTTTTTGGTATAGGCTTTGTCCGAGTGTACAGTCTCCACATCTGAACCCATTACGGATCGGCTGAGGGCGTACTCGCACTACGAATTTTCCGATCGACTTCTGGACGCGATTGCGGTTAGATGCATGCGAATCTGACCGCAGGTGCTGTGAGATTCACTTGCGAAAGTGCTTTTACCGGTAGTGTGACTATGCCCTGACTGTACAGTCTGCTTATCCGAAGAACGCGAAGTGATGATGATGATGATGGACCAATCAGAAGCAATCAACGGAGATGAGGAGGTGATTAGAGGATCGTCTGGCGGCGGCGGATGTCCTCTGGAGGAGAATCCGATGATGATTACTGTCTTCATCCGAATACAACGAACGGTCAAAACAGCTCTATTTGGGGCAACTTTGAGTCTAGATACAGCAATAATCGCCGTACGTTGTATTCGGGGGAGAAGACGGTAGCTCTAGAATGGCTGTTGAGGAAGGACTGAACGTGGACGAGGAGATGGTCCTGGTTCCTGTGTACTCTCTGTTACGTTGTTGAGTTGTTGAGCCAGCGACTGGCGGGATTGGACTTGAGTGCCGGTAGCTGTGTTTTGTAGAGGTGCAGGATTGTCATCAGGAAAGTATGGATGCTTGGGTGAGGGAGAAGGTGGGTGCAGCTTTGCGTTTTGGGAGGTGTATGTGTGGTGTCTGCTGTGATCAGCGGTCAAGATTCATCCTTTCGTTGTTGATTGCGATCCTGGGGTGGCTGACGTGTCTGACCTGTGTTCAGTGTCAGTTCTCAGTGGACGGTGGCGATGAGGTCTTTATGAACGATAGATACGCGCTCGATCTCGATCCCGATCTCGATCTTTATCAGGAGCAGAAGTCCTCGGCGGCTATGGCGTCTCCTTGCCCGTCGGGATTGCCTGATCTTGATGGCCGCTGCGGTCTGTCGAAGACGGAGGAGGGTATGGATCGACGGTATCTGGCTTCTTCTTCTTCGTCTAGCACGTTGGCATGGCAAGAGCTTAACGTAACGGGCGCGAATCCGTTTGCCATAGCTAACGTAAAGCTGCTGCCTTTGATCGTCCACGACATCGACAAAGACTTCAGATCTGTTCCAAACCGTTCTTGCTCTTCGTTCATCACAAACATGGTGATGGATTCGAATGCCTCCGTTCTGTACTACGTTGTGGAGGAGCGATGTGCAAAGGGTGATCGACGCAGCGTTGCCCCTGCTTCCCGTGAGAGGCTGTCGATCCGAAAAGCCGATCTGACGGTGATCAGACAACAACTGTTTCAATCTAACGGCTCCAAACCGTACATTGCACATCTTGAGAGCTTAATTAGTTACGTCTGGAAGGTGAGCAACAGCAGCGGTGAAGCGATCTTCTCCGCTGTTTATAACACTCCCCCCCCCTCCTCCTCGTCGTCGAAGGGGGAGGAGGGTCAGGAGGGGGTTTCGCAAATGGCCTCCATCTTAGGTCTGGAGCTGTCTGCGAACGGCAAACGCCTCATCCTGGCCTCAAGCACCTACGTCGTGTCGCCCGAGCTGACCTTCCTATCGGTAATCAACGGCACTAGATCCTCCGTCCGATTGAATGGGACATCGATCCAAGGGTTGGCAAAGCATCCGAAGACGACGGAGCTGTACATGTTAGACAAGAGCCAAGAAGATGAGGCGTGCTTACTCTCCCTCTCCCTCGGGGTAATCGACGACGAGTCCCGACTTCCCGCCGCCGCCGACTTCACGGTCATCTCGGAGACGAACGTCGTGCAGAGCTTTGACGGCGATGGCGATGGCGACGGCGACGGCGTACGCCACGTGTCCGACGACGCGCAGATCGGTCCCCACGGCTTCGACGCCAACGGCACGTGTCTGTATTTCATCGATCCGCAGGCGCAGGTGGTCTGGGGGCTTCAGTCGGGATCGGGATCCAAGCACAACAACACCTCCCCCTTCCCCTCCCCCTCCTCTTCCTCCTACTACTCTGCGGCGGAGGCTGCTGGCAATCTCTCCGTCATTGCTGGGATCATCGGGAACAAGACGAGAAGGCAGTTGCAAAAGGCATCTTCGTACGGCGATCCCGACCCGACGATGGTCCTCCTCGACGACTTGCGAGACCTGGTCGCGACTCCCGACGGCTGCAACCTCTTCGTCGTTAACGGCAATGCGGTTGATTGGATCAAGGTTGATTGGCTTTGCAGAAAAGGCGGGAACGTATCGATCGTCGCTCGGTACGATGGAGGGGAGCTATCCGGCTTGGCGCTCGGCCGCCGCCCATCCCAATCCCGATCCCGACCCTCTGATAACTTGACGCTGTGGGTGGGGGCAAGCAACGGGGACATATTCGAGCTGCCCATCGACTCCTCGAAGCTGCACACTTGCAAATGGGAGTGGGAGGGGGAGGGGAGCGTTTGGTCGGAAGCAGCTGTGAGCAGCAGCAGCAGCAGCAGCAGCAGCAGCAGCAGCAGCAGCATCGAGTCAAAAGCCTGGCCTAGCGTGAGTGCCAGCAGCAGCAGCGCGCCAAGCCTGGCGTCGTCGAAGGAGGTGCCCGATTTGTATCATCCAGCTCGGACTGCCGACGCCTCTTATCAGATCAAAGGCGGCGGCAATCCCGATGGAAGGGGGGATAGCTCCTCGGGATCCCTGATGGCGGTCAAGATCGGCTTGCCAGCTGGCATAATCGCTCTGATCGCGGTGATTGCCGTCGTGCTGCTGGTGATGAGGCGGAGGTTGTCTTCGCTGAGGGGGGAGTGCAGTGCGAAATCTCTCCCCACGGCGAGGGTGGAACCCATCTCGTCAGCAAGCAACGCCAGCGGTCGATCGTCGCCGCCGGCGGTAATCATCAGCCGAGCGAAACTCCATCCGGCGGAGGTGAAGAGGTTCGATCTAACGACCTTGATGACCTGTACGGACAACTTCAGCGATGATCGGCGCATAGGACAGAGGGGAGGGTTTGCGAACGTGTACTTGGGGTCGATAGACGGCGAGGATGTGGCAGTGAAGGTGATGACCGGTGATCTGACGGACGCCGAGCGACGGATGTTCATCAGCGAGGTAAACACGCTAAGCAGGGTACATCATGCCAATCTCGTCGAGCTGATTGGCTTCTGCCAAGAGGCCGATCGGTCTATCTTAGTGTACCCCTACTTTCCTGGTGGCTGTCTCTATGCTCGCCTGCACAACAACAACAACAACAACAAGCAGCAGCAGCAGCAGCAGCAGCAGCAGCAGCGGACATCATCGATCATCCCTGAATTCCCCCCCCCTCCTCCTCCCCTCACCCTCCTGGAGCGCATGTTTATCGCCCTGCAGATCTCCAAGGGGATTGGTTACCTACATGACGGCTGTGATCCGCCGATCATTCATCGAGACATCAAGAGTAGCAACGTCCTTCTTGATGATGGAACTGGTCACAAGATGCATGCCGTTCTTGCGGACTTCGGGCTGGCGAAGATTGGAGAGAGCGTGTTTGGAATGCGGCGGGAAAGTTCAGTCGCAGAGTCATCGGACATTCCCGGAACTTTTGGATACATGGCGCCGGAGTACATCCTCGGCCACGTGACAGAGAAGAATGACGTGTACGCTTTTGGCGTTCTCCTGTTCGAGCTCCTGACAGGGCGGATGGTGGTGACGTCAGCAGCTCCTGGAGGCGACGGGAGGTGCACGACGATTGTTCAGTGGATAGAGCCGTTCCTACGTGGCGATGATCGGGATTCCGATGTGCGATTGCCGGATGCAGTGCTGGATCCTCATCTAACGAGGGAGGTGATGGGATTAGCGGAGAAGCGAGCAGTGATGGAGATGCTTCAGCTTGCAAAGAAATGCGTCCACCTGGACCTCGACACAAGACTCGACATGACAGTCGTGGTAGAAACGATTCGCAATCTCTTGGCAGAGACAATGATGCAGATTGGATATCGATGATGATGATGATGATGATGATGATGATGAATGACGGGTATGATGATGATGATGATGATGATGATGATGATGGTAGATTATTGTGCTGCTTCGGGGAAGGATGATTATGATGATGATGATGATGATTGGAATCATAAGGGTAATCAGAGGTCGGATGTCCAGACAGGTGATATCGTTGGAGGGCATGTCGGGAATCGAGAGGGATGCTGTGCGATCTGCTAGATGGAATGCGGAGGAGGTGGTTGTTCCTCCTTCACCCCACATTTCGCAGACGACGGCGATTTCCCAAACGGCGAAGAAACGACAGAGCGAAGGGCTGAGGAGTGGATTAAGCGGAAAAGAGGGCGATCTCCGTCGGGGAAACGCCCAAAGTTGAGGGATGCGTGACCTAACGGCGGAGAGTGATTTGCCCGCGGCTCGAACTCCGAACCCCCCCCCGCGTCCGGGGGGAACTGTGAGCGCCTGTGGTCCTGTGGAACTTATGAGCGCACATACATAAATACAATAAGCTGCTTGCTTTGTTGTGTCGGCCGCTGATCAATGGGGTTTCTCCTCCCCCGCCAACCTTCGAGAACTAGGAGAACGACAGAGGTATGCCCGCTTCCTCCTTGCCAATAAGTTCCAGCTCATTCTCTGCTTAACGCAATGAGCAATGGGGTCGATACCCTCTCTTCTCTCTTTTTTTTTCTTTTTTTTTTTCCCGCTCCATCGTCCATGCCTTTTTTCCGTCAGCGTCTACGTGCTTGCACATATGTGTGTGGGCGCATGCATTCGTGTGCGGGCGTGTGCGGGCGTGTGTGTGTGTGTGTGTGTGTGTGTGTGTGTGTGTGTGTGTGTGTGTGTGTGTGTGTTGTCATATTCGCTAGCAGGGAATCCACAGGAAAAGCNTGTGTGTGTGTGTGTGTGTGTGTGTGTGTGTGTGTGTGTGTGTGTGTGTGTGTGGATTCATGTGTGCGATTGTGCGCGCAAGAGTGTGCTTGCCTCTGTTTGTGTGTGTGTGTCTTGTGTGTGTGTGTGTGTGTGTTTGCGCTTGTCTGTACATATGTGTATCTGCGTGTACTATTTACGCCTGTGCACCTGAGTGTGTGCGTGCGCACGCGCGCACTGCATCTCTCAGTCGGCGGCAGGCATACATTCAATTCAATCGAATGGAGACTGAAGCTATTGCGCTCTCCGCCGCAGACGCTGTTTCCACCTGTTGTTTGTTCCTCCGTCGCTGGGATCCCATCTGCGCCGCGATCCCATCGGTGTCGAGATCCCATCTGCGCTGAGATCCCATCTGCGTCTCACGCATACTGGGCGGACGCAATCGCTTACGTCTCCCTTTTCTTCGTTCATTCTGAAGAGATAGGGGGGGTATACCCCTCCATCTCCATCGATTTAGCCTTTAATTATCACCCCTCCATCCCCTATTAATTCGAGTTGGGGGGGGTTGATAATAGGGGTTACTACCCCTTTACCCCTCCTTCGGCGCTGCGCGCCATAAAAAAGACGATGATGACGTTCAAGTAGGGGCCCTTGGACTCGATTAGCGCACATTGTATACTGAGTGTTTCTGGAAACAGGGCACACTTAGGTGGGTGTCTGTTTCTACACTAAGACGCATAAGATCTTACCTTTTTGTTTTTTTTTTTTAATAGAAAGATTATTGATTTCCGAGCACGAGGCGATTGACAACCTTATTTTATTTCATTTCATGTAATTTATTAATTAATCAGGTAATAAATGCTAGGACCGATGGAGGAGGGTTCAGGCGAGGGATAGCGTCTATATACTTTGAGAGAAGTTATTGAATTGGGGGACTGCGAGAAAAAATACTTGGAAAAAAACAAGGACGAGAAGGCCATAGCTAGAGCCTAGAGCTATGACACCCCTCCTCATAAAGGGCCTTCTTTATTTTTATTTGGCTGCTGCCGTCGGCTCGAGTCCCCTTTTTTATTAATTAATTAATGTCGATCTAGGGTACAGAGACTTTTTTTTTTTTTTTTTTCATTTGTAATCAGTTTATGACCATTAATTACTAATTAGTTAGTCATCAGACCGTATTGAATTCTACTGGTAAAATATATAAATCCATCGGCTCTCTCTCTCTCTCTCTCCAGCTTCTGTGCTGGTAGGCGCGAAGCGTTTGGTTTTTTTTTTTTTTTTTTTTTTTTTTTTTTTAGTTTGATAGGCGCATTTTTTTTTTTGCGAAAGGCAAACGCTTAGAAGTACAGGCGAGGTTTCGCGGGCTGCGAAAGAAAAGAGATGGCAGGGAAGAGGATCACATCTTTTTCCTTGTTTTTCTTTGTTTCCCCCAGAAGAGGGGTTCTTGACCATCGATGGTACTCATATTGATGGGCAGGGGGGAGTAATAAAATTTCAGTTCCATAATGCTAGAGAGAGAGAGAGAGAGAGAGAGAGAGAGAGAGAGAGAGAGAGAGAGAGAGAGAGAGGAAGGGGGAGAAGTGTGCTGCGAGGTCGCGAGAGGAATTCCAGGGTTGTATTGTGCGTGTGTGTGTGTGGAGGGGATCTTCAGTGCGTCGTCGAACGGAGACCTCACCGGCATGGAAGTGTTAGAGACCCGGAGATAGATGACACAGTTGGTAGGGGTGTTTTTATGTGTGTGTGTGTGTGTGTGTGTGTGTGTGTGTGTGTGTGTGTGTGTGTGTGTGTGTGTGTGTTGT